GCTAGCAGCTGACCCGACTCGTTGAACTTGCTGTGTTTCACCTTTGACAGATGCATCTTCCTGTTCAGTTTCTACAACAACAAAAAAGGGGAAAATACTATTTCTGGTTGATCAGTTATGATACAAGCTTTTTAACAACAATTTTTGTACATTATGAAAATACATAATTTGAAAAGAGAAGGATATATTTAAATCTTAAAAGGATAGATATTTATAATGGAGCCAAGTGTCGTGTAACTTAGGAGTTGGTAAATACAAACTCAACATCCAACTGGAATTTATTTTATCCAGCATGCTTAAAACAATTTTTGTTTCTTTTGAAAACAATAATGAATCTTTTCCATCAATAACAGGAAGATAAATTATATGTTAGTGTTATTTATTTTATATTTTGAAAAACATGAGAGACGAGTTCTAGGTAGTTTAACTGTTTGAAATGACTTACATCTAGGACATACTCCTGGATAACAGCGTGTACTACTACACAGATGAGAAGATAGAACATGGTGGAGAAGATATCCTTACGTCCATAGGTATACAACCCAACATCATCAGCAGAATCTGTAGAAGAGAACCACATCATATGATGACATGCAATTTTATTTGCAAACATAATTTGATTGTAGAGACATTTTTTCACTTCTACATCTTTTTGGTATCTTTTTGGTATCTTTTTGGTACAAGTAGGTTATCAGTGTTTTTGTTACCAAAATTTTACAACAGCCTGTTCCTTTATAATTATGAATTGGGAAAATATAGTGTTATTTGTATTGAAATTGGAAATATATTTCTCAGTTTTTGGTCATTTTGGGAGAAACAAGGTACTTTTTAGCTAGGGGAAACGTCTGTATTCAGCAGTAAAACTGAGGAAAGCATCACGTAGCCTCCAGGCTGTATGCAATCATCGTTAAAGAAAAGACAAATTAAATTAAATTAAAACTGATAAAAAAAATCACTGCTTGTCTTCCCCAAACACATGTAGATGCTTACAAACTGATGATTGATTATGATTATAAACTGATTGCCCATCATTATTTATCATTATACCCGTAATAATACCTGCCAGTTTATATTCCGTGGTTTTTTAAATGCTAAACCTGTTCTACATCTTAATTTCAACCTCTGACTGTACATACCTGTGCCATTCCTTGTAACATTGTGCTGAAGAGCTACAAACAGTGTGGCTACTGGTGCTGTGGCCTAAATAAATAAAAAAAAAATGAAACTACATAAATACATTATATAAGTAGGAAGCTTAAGACTACATATGACAAAACCAAGGTATTGAAGAATTCCATTTTTTTAATTTAATATATTTTATGAAATGCACATTTTGGTGTATTGGCAACTGAAGGATAAATTCATGATCATCATATTCTGTTGTAATATTAACATGATTTCCATTGTACAGCGTGACACTCCCGGGATCCCGAGTGCATGTCTAACAAGTCTGTACTAGTCTGCAAATATCCCTTTTAATTTCCTGAAGGATGCAAAATTTCAGTCAATTAATTTGTTTAACATGTATGATGAACTGAACCATACAATATAAGACCCAAAAAATATGTATGTTCCAGGTACCCTAACTGATCCTAGGTTTTACCTATTTTTTTACGCACACAATGCTATTTGGAGCATACAATTGGTCTGAATAACCATATTTGAAGATTTTTGTAATATCTTGATTTAACACCTACCCCAATCCCTACCAATCTACCCCTTTTTCATAACATCATATTAGCACGTACTGACTTAAATCTAAAAACATATGCATTAAAATCCTTAAACGTTGTTGTCACCTCAACTTTCTCCTTTTTCATGCATTCCAATAACGATGCAATTTTTACAATTCTGAATAAAATGTGAGTGATGGATATTACAAAATGAAAACTTATGAAAAATAAATCCTTATTAATCTTTGGGCATTAATAGCAGTAAGCTTCATGTTCAGTGACAGAACAGTGTTAATTTTATAAATTTATGCACTTGTATGAAGAAATACAATCCTTGCCTGAATAATTTCATATTTTGGTGAAGATATACATTTTTGTAGCAATGTCGGTTATTATATTAGATCATCAGCTGCTGACTCAGCTTCTATCCATATGGTAAAAAAAAATCCTATCATTTGTTATATTTAAATAATAAAAAGCATCAATTTAAGAATTTATCATCTAGAAATAACAAAGGTAATTTGGTGTGATAACCTAATAAGATAATCAACCAACGCTAAATCAAATTATATTCGTAAGCTTTGAAACTTTGGCAATCTGATGCCATATTAGCTATTGGTAGCGATAGTTGTCGAAACTGTCTGATAATTACACGATTTCTTCGATTTAACACTCATAAAAATCACTTAAAGCAATAAAAGAATACAGGCTAATCAATAAATTTAATTAAATCCCTTTAAATGTTGAAAAGTTTTATTATAATTACAACAGTGCCACGTCACATTTCCAGAAAGTGGAAAACAATGAACAGCAAATAATTATCATGATGACGTACTGCAATATGGTCACTGCTCAGACCTATTTACATAAATTCATACATTGTAAGTGACATTTCAATAAAATCACATGATATTGAACAAATAACTGTCTGACATATGGGTAGACAAAATATTGGCTCGACGCCAACCGGCTCCTGTTATCACTTTCGTTTGTGTATTACGTACCTGAAACATGAGACCGACAACGAAAACCATTGCAATGCAAGACACAATATCCGCATGGTTCTGTATAAAGAACTCGTGACTAAAAATTGGTGGATTTTTCGTGCTTCTTCCTCGACGCATTCCCATCTTGATGCAGATAACAGCTGGAACTTCAACACTGACTTAAACTGTGCGGCGTGTCAAACGAAGTAGGAAGTAGTAATTAATTTCCCACAATGCACCAGCGTGCCAAAGGCTCCGATAAGACAGCTCATAAGACAGCTCATCTGATTGGATAAAATCAATACTGTCTGCTTCAGGGTGTTTTTGCCGACAGCATCAATCAAAATTGATGAGATAAGATGGTTTCTTTTTCAAAAAAAGGTTACCATTTAAACTAGGGACATTAGTTATATGAATCATAGTAAGCAGTGCGAGGATTTGAAAATTTTGTTCAACTCAGTTTGAATAATGTCACTGATAGTCTACATTTGTTAAAATTACGTAACTTTGCAAATGTCTATATTTATTTTCAACATGTTAAGTCACGGAATTAGATTAGATTAGGTTATCGAAGTCCGTGGTTAAGTCAACAAAATAAACATTGGGATCCAATATTTTACTTCAGTTGTCGTAGATCTAAGTTAACTTGAATTAAAAAAGAAGAAGCAGCATTTTCAGTCTTTTATGTACTGAGGGTCAATTTTGGGGACCTTAGCAGTTCACTTGACTTGAAGAAATATTATTCACACGAAAACTTGGAGTGGAAAACACAATTATAAATTGGGAGGGTGGAAAGAAAAAACATGACCTCACGTCTTTCATATTGCGAACTTTTAGTAAAGCGAATTACTATATATAGACTACTTAATTATTTATGTCAGAAATCATCACGACTAATAACTGCTTTACTTGATGGCATATACACCTTTTAGCCGTTCATTGTCTTTCTTATTGCTGTAATTGAACCCTGCCACACTACTCCCCTTTTTTCAAATGTGTTCGCCCTCGAACACCACAACCCAGGT